TGGCTTATGTGTGGTCGAGACAGTCACTGAATGCTCAGCCTTAGCTCCTGGTGTTTGAGTGCGAAAACTGATACCCAGCTCATTGGACAGTGAGGGTTAACGCGAGCACTTAGCACAGACCTGGCATCTAATACGCCTGGGACAGAGTGTCGTTTTCAAAGCTTGACCTGGACTGGCACTGACCCAGAGATTCAGCTCACGCGTGGGCTCAGGGGAACTCACACCTGGAGGCCCAGGTGCCTTTTGACTGCCTCAGGGTCCTCCATGGCCCTCCCTACCTGCTCTCCTCGCCCTCCAGCAGGCGCCTGTAGGTGGCGATCTCGATGTCCAGGCCCAGCTTGGAGTTCATCACCTCCTGGTACTCCTTGAGCAGGCAGGCCATGTCCTGCTTGGCCTTCTGCAGGGCCTCCTCCAGCCCGGCCAGCTTGCAGCGGGCGTCAGTGAGGGCCGCCTCGCCCTGCTGCTCGGCCTCGGCCACGGCGGCCTCCAGCTTGGCCCGCTGTGAGGAGGGAGATGTGAGCATAAAGTGAGAGAAGCCGCAGCGTGGCTCCCCTGAGTTTGTGGAGTTGGGGCGGGAGGCGAGGCTCAGAGACAAGTGGATTAGCTGACTGTGACCGGATGTGGGGCTGGGGACGAGCGGAGGGGCTGGGCAGGCCACCGGGGGCGGTCACCGGTGTAGTCACACGGTGGCTCCATCTCGAGTGCAGAGCGACATCCTGCCCTCTCTCTGGGTCCCCGCTTCCTCGCGGGCCACCATGAGCTCTGACAGGGGTCCGCTTTGCCCTCCTGCCAGCCGAGGGCTGGTGCCGCGGCTCTCTGCATACTCGCCTGGCACTTGGCGTTCTCAATCTCTGCCGTCAGCCTCTGGATCATGCGGTTGAGCTCGTTGATCTCCTCCTTGGTGCGGCGCAGGGTCTCCCCGTGCCGGATCACCGTGGCCTTCATCTCCTCGCACTGGGGAAGCTCAGGGTCAGGAGGCTCAGGGGCACACGCTGCCCACTCAGAGCCCGTGGGTGACGGTGCCCGACGGTGCATTGCCCAGCCTGTGCAGCCGCACGTGGCAGCCGGCTGGGTCGCCCGCCGAGACGCTGCGCCCCCTGGCTCCAGCGGGGGTCAGAGTCCCAGACAGAAGGACCTTTCTAGCCTGGTCCCCAGTCCCCTGTCCCCAGAGCCAGTGGGGGGTGGGAGGATGGTGTCCCGGGCCGCCCACCTTGCTGCGGTACCAGCTCTCGGCCTCGGCCCGGCTGCGGCTGGCGACGTCGTCGTACTGGGCCTTGATCTCGGCCACGACGCAGTCCATGTTCAGGTCGCGGCTGTTGTCCATCTTGACGATGACCGAGGTGTCTGAGATGTGGGCGTGGAGCACGCGGATCTCCTGCGGGGACCAAGGCCGTTGCTTTCGGTCATGGTGCTGCCCTGGCCAAGCGCTCCACCCGGGACCCGGGCAGCGTCCACTCTCTGGAAGAGTGCCGGTCACGGGTGCTCGTGACCCCTGCTCCACGTGCTCCCTCTCCCCTTCATTCACACACAGCTGCAGGGGCCCGGGAGGTCATCTGGGAGCGGCCCCTGTCTCGACAAGGGGGTAGATGAAGACCCAGAGTGCGAGGCCTGACTCAGCCCTCCAGTGGGGAGCAAGGTGGTGGCTGCCAGGACTCGGGACTTGGCCTCAATGAAGACCCCGGTCTGACTGGAAATGCACCTGGACCCTCACTCGTGCTACACACGTGTCCACCCACAGGCCCCCAGCGAGCACCAGCAGGGGAGCCCCTGTGAGGGCCCCTGGGCCCGCGTGGAGTCACCCCTCCAGGTGCGTGCATGCCCGTTCAAGCCCACCTCACACAGGCTGCAGGCTGGACCCCGAGGGCCCTTGCCCACCCAGGAGCCCACGCCCCTGCCCCTGGCCTGGCCGTTGGCATGTGTCCACTTACCTCATCATACAGTCGCTTCAGGAAGCTAGACTCCTCCACCAGGGCCTCCACGTTGGCTTCCAGGTCGGACTTCCGCAGGTAGGCGCAGTCCACATCCTGGATGGGGGGTGGGGTGGGGTGAGCATGTGAGAAGAGGCTGCGGCAGGCGCCTCCGGGGTCACAGGAACGGGGGGCACCCCGCGGGAGGCTGCACCGACAGGACCCCACCCCCCCGCCCGTGACCAGCCCCTCACCTTCTTTAGAACCACGAACTCGTTCTCTGCCGTGGCCCTCAGCGCCACCTCCTCTTCGTACCTGGTGCGGGGGGACAGGCCGGAGCTGAGCTTTGGGGTCTGGGTGCTACCCCAGTCCGGGCAAGCGCTCCTGGGGTGCAATGTTATTCTGTCCCCCCAAGATCTGTCTCTACATTTCTCATGTTCTTGCCCTTGCCCCTGTCCGACTGTCCCACCCCAGCCTCCTGCCTGGACACTCAGTGTCCCCAAGTCTAAAGTCATCTGCGCGCCCCAGCTCCGAAGCGAGCCGGCCGTGGGCAGGGAGGCATGGGGCCTTCCTGCTTCCTCCTGTGTCCCCAGGCACCGCACTCACTTCTTCTTGTAGCCCTCCAGCACCTCCTGCACGTGGTTGAGCTCGGCGGCCAGCCGCCCGCTGTCGGCCTCCACGCACTCGGCCTCCCGCCTCAGCGTCTCGATGTAGCCGTTGAACAGCGGCTCCAGGTTGCTCTCGCAGCACTGGCGGTTCTGGTAGAACTGCCACTTGGTCTCCAGCAGCTTGTTCTGCTGCTCCAGGAAGCGCACCTGCAGCCCGGGGCGGAGAAAAGAAACTCAGGGGGTGCCCATGGGCATCCCTGGTCCCCCCCAGCCCCCAGCTCTCATTGCCCCAAGATTCACTGAAGAGTTAGTGCCCGCCAAGGGCTGAGTCCTGGGGTTGAGTGTGAGGAACTATAGGGCCTGGCTCCTAATGCCTCGCAGCACCCCGGAGGCGGCCGGATGTGAGGGGGCACCCTGGGCTGGACGCCAAAAAGTCTGGCTGAAGTCCCAGTTCTGCCCTTTAAGTGGGCAAGTTGTCTAACCTCTTGGCACCCACTGTTTTCTTTTCTAAAAGAGATCACAGTGCTGCTGAAGAGTCAGGAAGATCGAACAAGTTAGAACAGCCCCTGCCACATAGTAAATGCTCAACCAATTTAACCGTGACTATAATTAGCAGTTGCTTTTCATTTATTCCTTTATGCAACACAATGAATATTTACTGCATGGTGCAGGCACTGTGCTCTCTCTCTCTCACACACACACATACACACGCAACCGTTTCATTCAGTTAGCACGACCTCCTGGGAAGGTAGGTAGTTTTTCTTCCGTAGTACAGATGGGAAGACTGGAATCCCAAGGTCTGAAATGACTAGCTGCTGTCACAGAATCAGGACAAAACTGAGCCCCTTTAAAGGCCTGCCCACCAGTTAGTTTAAGCAACTCTCCTAAACGCTCAGTTTCAATTCGTTGTTCAAAGAAATGGAGCTACTAACACCTGCCCCGTTGGGGCATTTGGAAGATTCCTTAAAACATGAAAGAAGCCAACAGGGAGCTGGTCACCCCAGGACCCCTGGTTAGGACGGTCCTGCCCACTCGGCTGGAATGAGGCCTCGTGGGCGCGGGGGTAGCCAGCGTGCAGCAGCAGCTCAGGCCACAGCCGGGAGGCCTCCCAGCCGGGCAGAGCTCCTCACACCCTGTGTCCGAGGGCCTCCTCCCGCCCCCTGGCCACCTGCCCTGTGCGTGCCCGTCCGTGACGGAGGCTGCCCAGCCCGGGCTGGCTTCTGTCATGCCTCCGGAATCACTCCTGTTCTTGAAAACAGCAGCAATTGACGTTTTGTTAAGTGCTTACTGCTGACAGCAGGTTACGTGCACAAGCCCATTCATCTTCACAGCAAGCACGCAAGAATCTAGAGGGCGACACGCCTGAGTCTCATGCTGTGAGGGGCACAGGGTGGGGAGGCCGGGTGGCTCCCAGCCCCGCTCCGGCTGCGTTCCAAGCCTCCCGGCACCACGAGGCACGTCGTCTTGGCTCTCCCCCTCATCTCTAACTCCCCCAACACCCAGAGCCCCGTCTGGTGTTTCAGAGTCAGCTCTGGTATTCCTGTGGCGTCTTGTGTCCCGAAGCACACAGGCACGTCAGATCCCAGACTCTGTTTCTGGGTGACACCGGACCTTTGTACACTTTGCTGGCATTAAATGCTGAAACCTGACCGTTCTACCGCATCTCTCTGTTTTCTCAAACCTAGCTGCCATTCTGACTCCTCTCTTCAGTGTCCAAGCTGAGTCCTGTGCATGCGTGGGGTTCAGGAAGGGCGTGATCCAGGACACCCACCTTGTCGATGAAGGCGGCAAACTTGCTGTTGAGGTTCTTGATCTGCTCCTTCTCCTGATGTTTGACGCCCTGGGCGTTGGGGTCGATCTCCAGGTTGAGCGGCGTGAGCAGGCTCTCGTTGACCGACACGGTGGTGATGCAGGGCGGGCTGGGGCCGCACACGCCGCCGGAGCGGTACCCGAAGCTGCGGCCGCAGGAGCCGGCACGGAAGCCGCCGATAGCCATGCGGGGCCCGCAGGAGCCCAGGTTAGAAAGGCTGCGGCTGCCGAAGCCAGTGATCCCCCGGTAGCAGGACACGCCTCGGTAGGGCGCAGCAGTGATGCAGCAGCGGTTGCCGGTTTTGGGGGCCACCGCTGAGCAGGAGCTGAAGGTTCTGGAGACTCCACATCCTGAGCTGATTCTGTAGGAACGGCACGACATTGTGTGGTCTGTGTCCGGTGCTGAGGCAGTGTGCGAGGCTGGCGGGTACTAGAATCCTCTGGCCCCTCTGATCCTCCCTGGTCCTTTTATTTGTGGGGAGAGCTGGGGTTGGCTGCATAAAAGGAGTGAAAATTCATTTTATGTTGTTTATTGGCTTGGGGAGTTTGCCAGCAACTCCCCAAGGACTCGTCTTAAAGGTGAGCTCAGCGGCGACTCCGGGACTCGGGAGCATTGAAGATGTTATTAGGGCTCTGTGCGTTTGCACTTTTCATCTTCAAAGCTCGTTTACATACATTAAGCAATTAATTTTCTCGCAGTCTCCTATGAGAAGGCCTCAACCCACACCTGGAGACGGATGTGAACCCCACAACAGTCTGGGCGACTGGGCTTGGGGTAGAGGCTGGAGCCACAGTCTCAAAGGAGAACCCCGGGGTCCCCCGGGGGGCATGAGACCACAGAGGTGCCTGCCCGTCTTACCGGCTCCACCCGGCTCACGTGCTCCACGAAATCCTGTGCTCCACGGGCGGAGAGGCCGGCCCGAGCCCACCCAGGCGACATGGCCCGAGGGTGACATAACTCCATTGGGCGATGCTGACGGGTTCCCTTAGGACACAGGGCTGGAGCACGCGGTCTCTGAGAACCTTCTGGGTCCGGCCCAAAAGGCTTTGCCCGGCGCCTACGCTCCTCACTCAGCAAAATTGCACGCCACGCAGCTCTCCGCGGCCACAATAACAGCCGTGTGGATAATGGGGAGCTTCCCTTTGGCCACTTTCTCCTCTTGACCAAAAGTAGGCGGCCCTGATCCGGCATAACCTGGCAGCTACGCTCCGGTACCCGCCCTGGGTTTTTTAAGAAGAATGGCGAACTGCTCTTTCTGTCGAGACCATCAGCTGAGAGCACGCAGGGTGTCCCAGCCCCGGGGGAGTCACCCCCTTAAGGAGGTGGGCGAACCCACTTCGCCCAGCGACGGGAGTGGGGCGGTGGCCTCTGCCCGCCCGGGGACTCGGGAGCCTGGCTGCTCCCCGTGTCCTGCGCCCTTCCGGCCCGGGCCCTTGCTGGGAACTGCTGTTCTCTTTGTGTTTGTGGAGTGCAGGTTGGGGGTTCAGGCTCTGTGTCCCGGAGGCGAGCCAGACACCCAAGGTGGGGGACGGGCACTGGGACTCTGGGGGACGGCCCCACGGGGTCTCCCTGATGCCGCTGCCTCAGACGGGCTGGTGGGTCCTGGCTGCCGCCTGTCCTCACCTCTTGCCGCGGCCTGGCTCATGGCCCTGGGGACCAGGCCGGCGCCTCCTCCCCCGCATCCCCCCCTTTCTCCCGGGTAGAGCAGGGAGGCCTGGGGCGGCCGCAGCGGAGAGCGGTCTTAGCAGCTGCGCCCCGAGGCCTCCAGATGGTGCTCACCCAGGGGCGCACTGGGACCTGCATTGGCCAGTGGAATCTGGGGGGCGGGGGGTGGCCTGGGGCGGGTGCGGCACCCCCAGCCGGTGGCCTGAGCTCTCGGGGCCTCTGCTTCCTTGACTGTAAAGCAAGGTTCATCCTTCCTCCCAGGTGGGTGGCGGGTCAGTGGATCATACAGAAACATGGCACCGGGCACAGGAAGCTCTGGATAAGGAAAGGGACTTGTTGCCTCCTATCAGAGACCCCCACCCCGCCGGCACCCCTCACCCACAGAGCGGGGCCTGCTCCTGGCGCCGCCCACGGGCCTCACTGCCTCTGCTCGTTTATCTCCACGACTCTTTCAAGATGCTTTTACTGTTTTCTTTAACCCAATTTCGGTAGTATGAAAATTTGGGGGTTCTGGGTGTGGAGGGGGAGGCTTTACAGGGAGTGGACTCCGGCTCCTGGCCTCAGTGGGGGCTCTGTAGACCTGGGCCCATGAAGTTGCTGATTGTGTAGACCCGGAGCAGCTGTGGAGGGGCCGAGAGGGACTGGGGCCTTGGAAAGTGGGGAGGTGGGTGGCGGCCGCGCTTGGGAGGTGGGGATGGGTGTACCCTCTGCTCAGCCAGCTCAGGAATCCATAAAACCTCACCCTCTCCTTAACTGTAATAAGCCTTGCTCGCCCTCAGTTTATTGAAGAGGAAGGAACCAGATCTATTTCTGCCCCTCCCTGGAGGCGGGGTGATGGGGGGCCTTGTCCTGGAGAGAGACTCCCCTATCAGCTGCCCCCCCTTGCCCCCAACAGACACACCCCTCCCTACCCCATGCTGAGCACAGGGTTTGGGGCGGGGGACCGGGCCACTCAGGCGGCCTGGGGAAGCCCCACTGTTTTCAGTGGGCCCCACCCGACCCAGAACCGGCTTGAGCGCCGCTGGGGCTTCGGGTCTGAGGGGCTGGGCTGGAGAGGGGCTGCGTCCTCGTGGATGTCCCAGGTCACCCAGGGTGCGTGGGGACCCAAGGGCAGGCCAGCCAGGCACTGCTCCCTGAAGGTCTGTGCAGGTCCAGCAAACTGGGCGGTGCCTCGTAGTTCTACGAGGAGGGATAGTGCCCTTGGCCCACGGCCGCCCTGGCCGTCCCTGGGCGCTCTGCCCGGCAGGAGCCCGACCACCAGCGCGGCCTGTTCCCTGGCGCCAATGGCCTCCTGCACCCCTCGCTCTGCTCCAGCGTCCTCGCTGTCACACCTCTGCCTGGAATGTCCCAGGACAGCTGTCCGGCTCTCCCAGAAGCCTCTGTGAGGGGGTTAGTCAGAGGGAGGCTGTCATTTCTCCTCTGTCTCAGGGGGCAGCTCATTAAAGTGCCCGTTCTGGGGCTCCCCAGCCGCTCAGTCATCTCCTCCCACACCCTCTTGTGCTGAGTGCTGACACTCGTCACCCCCTTTGGTCCTGCTCACGCTGCACCCACACCTCTGGACACACCCAGTGTCAGGAATGTGCATGCAAACCCCTGCCCTTCTCAAGAGGCTGCTTCCTCCAGGAAGTCTCCCAGGACTAATTGGCTGAGAGGCTCATGGCCCCGCCCTGGAGTCCCAGGCCACGGCGACTCCCTCTGAGCCCGTCCCACTGCTGGGGCTTCCCCGGAGTCCTCCCCGTCACGCCCAGCCCATCCTCCTCCGTGTTTCCTAAGCGAGATGCACTGGGGACATGTTCGCCCGCCCTGGTACCGGGATCTCAGGACCTCTCGTCTCTTCCGCCCTTTCTACAGCCCTGCACGCCCCGATTCTGGGAAGCTTTCTGGGCTGGTTGGGGTGGAGGGAAGGTCTGCTACCTTCCTGCCCTGTCCGGCCCGGCCTGGCTGGCCACGACCCGCGTGTCTGCCTGGGCTCCCTCCCACTCTGGCTGGCTGGGCTGACAGGGCCCTGGCACACGGCTGGAACCGAGCAGGGCTGGCCACACGGCTCCCTAAGGTGGGCATCGCCCTTCAGCCTCGCTGGACTCTGCCTGCCGTGTCCCCCTCCCATTCCACACCATCTCCTGTGACACTTCTTTGCCCTGTGACACTTTTTTGGCTCTCATAGAATTTGGGGTGACACAGCTGGTGTGAGGGGAATGAGGTTGGAGCCACAGGGAGGAGCCGGAGGAACTGGGGGTTCCCCAGTATAGCCTCACAGCTGCTGGATTAGGCCCAGCCTTACGCCTAGTTTCCCTTAGGGTCCCCAGAAATCCTGTCCTTTCCTCCCGGGCCCTGTTGCCATCTCCCGGCAGGAGCTGTCCCAGGGCTCCGATTCAGAGTTGGACGGTATCATGGGTTGGAGTGTTTCTTTCGCCTTCTCTTCTTAGTGCTGGCATCATTTTCCCAAACTCGGGAGGAAAACAGAGTTATAGCGCCATGTCCCCCCCCCCCCCACAAACACACACACACACGTGTAGTTATGTTTAAGAACAGCTAAGACGGATGCCTGCCTGCGCGCTCCCTGAGCCCGCCTCCCCACCCCCACTCTCAGCACAGCAGAGCGAGTCCCTCAAACACTGAACAGGGCTGAGCCCCGGCTCTGCTGAGACACCCCACGGCTCCACCTGCCCCTCGAGACAAAGGCCTCAGAATGCCCAGCAGAGCCCTGCGCTGCCTGTTCCTGCAGTGACCTCTCCGTCCCTGCTCTCCTCAGTACACACACCACACTCCTGTCTCAGGCCTTAGCACTGGCTGTTCCTTCTGCCCAGAATGCTTTTCCCTGGCACTGGGCCCAAACATCAGTTCTCAAAAAACGACCCTTGTCCGTCTGTCAACTGTGACCTGTCCTTCCACCCCTGGGGAGCCGCGTGGCTTACTCTGCTCCCACGTCCTCCTTCTTTCCAGCTGTCGACGCTTCCTGATGTGTGTACCTGAGGCGGCCATGCTGCTGATTGGTCACGGGCGTCCTTCCCTTTCTTCCCATAAGCCTCCAGAGCAAGGATGTGCCTAGTGGCTAACGGCCGCCCTCACCTGCGGCCCGCCAGGCCCTGGCCGCCGTGCTGCGGTCAGTGGGGAGTGCTGTGACCTATGACGTATGTGAGTGGAAGGACATCGTGGGCAGGCCCTGCGGTCACCCTGTGGGAGCCCTGGGCCTGAGCCGCACGGGACAGACCCTGTTTGGAAACAGGACCCAGAGCCTGCCGAGGGTTCTCCGCTCCAAGGCTGTGGTGTTCTGAGCGTCTGCGGAAACAAGGCGCAGAGTGGTGGACGGTGCTTGCTGGGGGTGGTGGGAAAGGGGGGGCTGAGTTTTTAAAAGATATATTTATTTATACATTCAGAACTGGGGTACAGGCCAGAGGTGCAGGGGGTGAGAGGACTCCCCAGAGACAGAGTGGGGAGCAGAACAGGCAGATCGACGAAGGACACTGCTGAGGGGAGCAGCGGGCGGGTCAGGAGAGGTCTGCTGGGCCATGTGGTCACCTCCCGGGCGGGCGGGGTTCGAACTCATGCTGAAGTGGCTTTAGCTTCTCGGTGCTGTGCTTTAACCCGCTGCGCCACCAGGGAGGGCCCAAGGGGGGGCTGATTTTTTAAGCTTGCTTTCTACTGATGTGTGCTAAAGGCAATTTGGAGGAAATCTCTATCTTAAAGGACTCTAGGCTCCTCTCTTCCCGGGGTGACAAAGCGGTGATATCCTACAGCTTCTGAAAAGCCCTGTGCCGCCCGGAAGGTGGCGGCCAGCAGAGGGCAGCAAACCCCCACAGCTGGCGGCCAGGTCTGCCCGAGCAGGGCCGGGAGGCCAGAGGGACCCCGCCTGTGAGCGGGGCTTGGCGATGCCTTGAGATCCACCCGCGTTCGCTCTGCCCTGGCTGACTGTCCGGCCACCACCTCTGCCATGAGAAACAAAACCAGAATGGCCCCCGCCAGCCCCAGGACAAGCAGCTGCCCGAGCTGTGCCCACTGTGCGTCCGGCGAGGGCTTAACCTCTTGCGCTGATGCCCCTGCAGCTCCACAGCTCCTCGGAGGAAGGTGGAATTAGCTCCCCGTTTCACACGAGGCCTGTGCAGATCAGTGGCCGGCAGAACCCCTGGTGGTGACTGTGGATTCTGGGACAGACGCTGCTTCCGTCCCGGGCACCCTGGGTCTGGGGTTTGTCCCAAAGGGGAAGTGAAACCACCTCTGTGTGAGGTACTGAGAGAGCCAGGTGGGGTTGAGCGTGAGAACTGTTGGCTGCTGTGTTCAGTTTTCAGGATTTCTGACGAGACTTCTGTGGTCCTTTAAATTCTTGTTTCTTTCTGTATAATGCGCATTTTCTTCTAATTATAAACTTGCTCTTCCCATCTTCTTTTTTCTTTATTCTTCAGACTGCATTCTTTCTGTTGACTTACCTTCCAGCTATTGGCAATTCGGCTTCTCCTTTGTGCGATGGAATCTGTCAAGGATTTTAAAATTCCAGACATAGGATGTTTCAATTCTAAAATTTTCCGTTGAGCCTATTGGAGGGTTTCTGGGTTTTGCTGGGAGCTAACTTTCAGCCACCTCAAACCTGGTTACCTTTAGTCTCATGGCACCTAGTAATAGATACTTACACGTCTTAGTGGGACAATTTCAATGCCTGTATCGCTTTCGGGGCTGACAGCTGTTGATTTTTCTTCTCCTTGAGAATTCGTCACCTTTTTCTGCTTCCTTGAATTTCAAAATAATTTCAGATTGTGCCCTGGACATTCCAGATACTACGCGGGATAGACTCTTGGCCTTGCTAAGATTCTCTGAAGAATTTTTATTTTGTTCTGTTTTCTCTCAGTAGGGACTCAGGTTAGTCACGCTCGGGCTGCACGCCCCTCTCCCTCTCTCTGACCTGCGATTCCAAACTTAGTCCGGTGTCTCCCTTCGTTTGCCGATCTGAGTCTGTCCCGTGTCGTGCTACTCAAGGGTTCGCCTGAAACATGGGTCGTGGTTCCACCCAGACTTCAGTTTTCGGCTGTTGCTTTGGGTGTCTCATGCCAGTGCACCTTGAGGGCGAGCCCAGGGCTTGGTGGGTTCACACACAGAGGAACCCCCTTCCCGGCCCCCCCGTTCCCCGTCGGGCTTTCTTTTCCTGGTTCTTCAGCCGGAGATGCGTTTCCCTTGGCTCCACAGCTGGCGTTTGCAGTTAGGACAAAGCCCTGAGAGAGAAGAGTAACATTCGCTTCCCGTCCGTACTTTGGGGCCCTCTTTTCCTGCTTCCTCTGGCTAGAAAAACGGAATTCCTTTTTCTTTTTTTTTTTTTTTTAAAGATTTACTTATTTATGCATACAGAACTGGGGTACAAGACAGAGAGATGACTCACCAGAGACAGAGTGGGGAGCAGAATAGGCAGATCGACAAGGTGCACTGCTGAGGGGAGCAGCGGGCGGGTCAGGAGGGGTCTGCTGCGCCCTGTGACAGGTCATTCCCTGGCTGGGGATTGAACTCGTGAAGTGGCTGTGGCCAGCTTCATAGTGCTGTGCTTTAACCCATTGCACTACCAGGGAGGGCCCGAAAATGGACTTTCTTTAGGAATTTTAGCTGACGGTGCTGGGGGTGCGCAGCGTGACACTGGGCCCTTCCTGCAGCTCAAAGCCACACGGAGCTGAGTGTGGTAGCAGCACAGATGGTGATAAACAGCACGGGGGGGGGGCGGGTCACCCCCATGCCACCCCGCATGGACACGCTCGCTCCGGTCTCCTGGGTCTCGCTCCTGCTCTCGTGTCTGCTTGGTGCGCGTCTTCCTCCTTCTGTGACCTGCTCTTGATCTTCTGCAGCTCTGCTGGGCATCGCATTCCCCAAGATTCCTCCAGTCTGGGTTGCACTGCTCCGCGTGCATTGCAGCACCGATTCTGCCTTGCAGCACAGCACCGACTGAGCTGTCAAGCGGGTCCTCATTTGCTGGGCCGTTCGGCTGTCAGACCGGAAGGGGAGGCAGGGCCCGGCTCCTGGTCGCCGCGGCTTCCCAGGCGCAGAGTGAGCACTTAGCAAATATCTGTTGGGCCAGCAGATAAAGGACTAGCGTCTGGAAGTGGGGTGCATGGAGGGGGTCGCAGGGTGTGGAAGTGCAAGCAAAGGTCACCCAGGGCTTGAATGCCATGCTCAGAAATTTTGGGTTCTTTCTGGAAGGCAATGGGACCGCGGAGGGCCACGTGCGAGGGAGAACCAGTTTTCCATGGGAGAGAGACTTTTCGGGCAGCATGGTGGTGAGGAGGTGGGAGGGACGCAACGTCCCTACAGTGACCCTAGGGGACCTGGGGCTGTGGTGGGACTTGGGGAACAGGTAGAAGGGTTTGAGTTGTTTGGAAGAAGGCCCCTTGGGGTGTAGGGCAATGCCTAGAGAAAAGTGGGGCGCTTCCTTCCAGATCCTTCGCTCTACTCTCCCCACTGAACGTGAGCCCCTCTGGGGAAGTCAGCACCAACCCTGTACCCTGGCAAGTCCTCGGAGGAAGGGCTGGCGCAGTCTGGGAGCACTGCTCGACCCCCCAACCCCTCCCCCCCCCGCCCCGGCAGTGGGACTCGGAAGGAGAGGCCAGTCCTTGTGATGTGAGCTTGGCGATTTTATTGGAAACCCAAAACACAAAGCACAGCACAAACAGGCACCCCACCCACCCGGTCTTGGTGGGACTCACAGCAAACGGGGCTGGGGCTCCCTCACACCCCGACGGGACGGGGTGCAGAGCCCCTCCCCCCACCTGTACCCCACCACCTCGGACATTCACACGCTGAAGTTAAAGCAATAACCCAGGAAGAGAAGCAGCCACTTGAAGGAAAACCATCTTGGGGGGACAGAGGGGTCCCTGGGTCACCAAGGGCTGGGTTCTTCTGGGGTCAGGAAGGGAAGGAAAGAGACTTCTGCCAGGGAGAGAAGGAGGAAGGAGTACAGGGCGGCGGGCCACAGAGGCCAGCAGAGTGGACAGTCAGCTCTGTTCTCCGAGCTCACCCAAAGCCATGGATGCCGAGGGTGCCCGACACCCTCCTTTGACCCTGGCTCTTCCTCCCCACCCATTGCACGGGCTTTTGTAACTGAGTCAGATCTGCACTTCTTGAGGCTGTCGGCTGGTTGGTGAAGCGTGATCCACAGGGAGAAGCCAGGCGGGCCTGGGCAGAGCTGCAGCCGAGGACACGGCCAGCAGGGTGGCCCGCGGGAGCTGAGGGGCTCGGGCAGCTTGCTGGCAGGAGGGATAGCTGGGCCAGAGCCCGGGCGCCCCAGGGGCGGGAGCAGGGGGCGCGGATGGCTCTCCCGGCCGTGGCTGCGGGGCTGGGCGCTTAGTACTTGGTCCGGCAGGACGTCGTGGACGCGAAGCGGACGCTGGAGCTGCGGCTGCTGCGGCCACCACTGCAGCTGCTGAAGCCCTCGGTGGGCAGCGGGCAGGGCGCGCAGGGGGCACAGGCCTCACCCACGAGCACGGAGCCCCCGCGGGTGCCCCCGCCCACACTGGAGCTGCAGGTGCCCCCGCTGTAGCGGGTGCTGTTGCTGCTGGTGTAGGTGACCCCGCCGCGGGAGAGCGAGGACCCGCTGACCAGGGTGTCGGGCCCGCACACCAGGCCGCCCCGGGAGCTGCTCACGGCTGCGGGAGGAAGAAACAGTCGCCGTCAGCAGGCGCGGGCGGGGCGCAGGCCTCTGGGCTCCTGCTGGACAGGGCTGCTGGGGGCGGGGTGTGAAAGTGGGGGGTGCACGGGCTGGGGGCACCGGGGAGGTGCCAGGGTGGAAAAGGGCCTCATGGGCTCCCAGCCTGCACCATTTTCCTCTGCTCTTGTCTCACTGACGCACAGGCTGAGACTGCTAATGTCCGACATGCAAATCAAATTGGGGGTCCAGCGGGCTGCCCAGGCATCTGCCTGTAGCTGCGGGCTGAGGCACCTGTACGCGGCTAAGGTCAGGCTGCCCGGTGAGGCCCCGTGCGCTGGTGTCCAGGCCGCCCAGCAGCGGCCCCCCTCAGAGCTGCTCATGTCTCTCTTCACCTGGATGTGGACTCTGGTGGCGCCACATCACCACCCCCGCACCCCGTCATTGCCCTCACCCCGGGACTGGCTGGCTCTGCCCTGCTCTCCGCTCCACGCCCCTAACCTGACCAAATCTGGCAGAGACCCGCGGCCGGCCTGGTCCCCGGGTGTCCCTCGCGCTGTCTGTGACCCCCACTCGGGCTCGGCCTGCTCGGAAAGCTCCAGCTGCCCCCGCATCACCGCCCCGGGCTGCAGACCCACTGCCCAGCTCGGGCTCTGCGCGCCTCTGCGTGTGCACTCGGGCCAGCAACCGGGCTTGCGGCTCTGTTGCCTCACGGACTGACATAGCAAAGGGGGGATTTTCTCCGAGTGGACAGGGGGACAGCAGTGCCTGCTGGCTTGCCCCCAGGCCTCTCTGAGGGCCAGGGTGGGCGTGGCCAGGTCTCGGGTCTCAGGACAGTCAGCGTTCTCGACAGCAGCTGCAGCTGCCTTCTCGCTGGCTGTGCCAGGGCGGTGCCCCTGCCCTGGGGCCCAGCCGGGGCTCTGGTGACCCAGCCTCAGCCAAGCCCCTGCCCTGGGGGGAGGGGCCTCCCTGTCCAGGCCTTTCCGTCTCTTCCCACTTCTCCTCTGGCCTTTACCCTGGACGAACAAAAAGGTTCTTCCAGAACACTCTCCCCCAGTGGCCCTGCAATCCTTGGTGACTGCTTCGCTCTCATAAGGCAGGTTCTGGGGAGAGCTCAGGCCTCAGCCCGGGGGTCCCCTAGGGCAGGGCTCCCTGGTTTCTGCTCCCTGACTGTCACGCCCCCCACGGGGGGCTCCTGACTGCAGTGGTAAAGGAAGTCTGAAGAGCCCCAGGAGAGAAGTGTGTGAAGAGGAAGATGTAAGGTTCTTACATATATTTACTGGTCCGACACCTTCGCAGATCCTGCAGAGAGAAGACACATGTTGGTCCCTAAACATCATCGCAAAGACCGACTTGCCATCAGACAGGCTGTCTGCGCTCAGTGGCCCTGTGCTCTCACCACGGTGCAAACATCCCAGGAGCTTCGTGAGGCCACAGGTTCCTAGACCCACCCTCAGCAAAGCAAAATACTTGAGGAAATGTGCTAATGTGATTTTAAGCAGGCTAACTGGCAAGCCATCTCCCTCCGCTGCTGGGGTCTCCTGTCCGCTTGCCCTTCGGAAGCAGGGCTCCAGCCCAACTGCTAAGCCCTGCCACGCACGACCTGACTGGCATTTGCAGAAGAGACTGTCACTTCAGGGGTGTCATTTCAGCAAGTCTTCAGCTGACCCCCTCCCCCCACTGTGGAAGCGGGGTGGCCTTCCCTCCCTCCCTCTGGCCGCAGGGAGCGCTCACCGGATCTCCTCGCCCTCCAGCAGCCGCCTGTAGGTGGCGATCTCGATGTCCAGGCCCAGCTTCACGTTCATGAGCTCCTGGTACTCGCGCAGCTGGCAGGCCATGTCCTGCTTGGCCTGCTGCAGGGCGCCTTCCAGATCCGCCAGCTTGGCCTTGGCGTCGCTGAGGGCCGCCTCGCCCTGCTGCTCGGCCTCGGCCACGGCGGCCTCCAGCTTGGCCCGCTGCAGGGAGGGCAGTTTGCAAGTGGGCTCTGGCAGGGACAGGGCTCCCCACGCAGCTCCCGGTTGGTGGGGTCACTGCCTGGTGCCGAGCGGGGGCGGGAGCCCATGGGGCCAGGGATTGCAGTTTAATGTCACCGGGGAGGAGCTCGGCTTTCTTCACTCGCCATCCCCACTGACGTCCCTCCTGAGTGCGATGCTCCGAGATGCACAGAACAGACCTCTGCTGCGCCTCGCCCGCCCGCTGAGCCTTTCCTTCTGTTGGGAGGCTCTTTCCTTTCTACAGTCCCCTCCTCCAGGAAGCCTTCCTGGACATCCCTTCCCTGCTTCTTGTAGGTGTGGCGGACTGTCCCACCGCATCAGACCTGGGGATCGCCAGGCGTGGGGTCCCGCCTGTCCGCGCTCTGGAGCTTTGCCCGCGCCTCGCCCACCTGAGACTTGGCGTGCTCGATCTCTGCCTTCAGCCTCTGGATCAGGCGCGTCAGCTCGTTGATCTCGTCCCTCGTGCTGCGCAGATTGTCGCAGTGCTGGCTAGCGGTCACCCGCATCTCCTCATACTGGGGGGACAGGGAGGGGAGAGGAGAGGTGTTCCCAGGGTCCAGACAGGGGTCAACACCCTCCCTGAGCTAGGGGCCCCAGCCTCCACCAGGCCCTTTCCCTTGAGGTGGGCTGCCACCCCCCACCCCCGCCACAGGCGCCCCTGCTCACCTTGGTCTGGTACCAGGCCTCAGCGTCGGCCCGGCTGCGGCTGGCGATCTCCTCATACTGGGCCTTGATCTCAGCGATGATGCCGTCCAGGTTCAGGTCCCGGCTGTTGTCCATCTTCACGATGACCGAAGTCTCTGAGATGCGGGACTGCAGCATCTGGATCTCCTGTGTTGGAGGAACAGAAAGACGGGTGGCTCCTAGCCCCTCGGGGGGCCCAGGTCTGTGCTCAGACCCTGGGATGCGGGTTCAGGAGCAGAGTGCCCCGCTCAGCGGTCAGACACCCTCCACATTGTCTGCAAACAAAGCCGTGACCAAGAACCATTCCCGTGGCGTGCACCAGGGCTATAAACTCAGAAGCTCTAGCTCTCAGACCTTGTTAGCTGCACATTTAGGGGCACTGACCCACAACGTGATTGTAATGGTCGCCAGTCATGGTGAGCGGATGTTATTTTAGAACACAGTGGTCTAGAAATTCCTCTATCTCAAGTGTTAAACAGAACCAGAGCTTGAGTTGGAACTGGCTTGCAAGAGGAGGGTCCAGACAGAACGCTCTCCATTCTTCCCAATCAGAGCCAGACTTTCCGCTCTGGCTGGGTCATAGCACAGCCACTGGGCCACTGATGGAACAAAGCATAGTTCCTTTGACTATTTGGGTCAACTACTTTCTCCCTACATCTCCTGGCATATCAGCTTTCCAGGATCTCTGGTCACTAGGCAGGAGGGCCCCTCCCAGACCCCAGCCTTCGGGTTGGCCAGCGAGGAGGTAGACGGCAGATCAGAGGGTTCTGCTCCCAGACCCGCGTCAGGGAGCCGAGAAGCCCGCTAACCTTTCCTTCTGCACCTCACAGCAGCTGTAGATTTGAGAGGAAAGATGTGGGAGCCTAAATATCAGAGATCATTCAGACAGAGGTCTCCCTTGAGGCCTCGGTGGGAGGAGTCCTTACCTCCATGTACAAGGCTTTTAAGAAGTCAATATCCTGAGTGAGGGTGTTAGCATTGGCCTCCAGATCAGACTTATTCAAGAAAGCCGTGTCCACATCCTGCACAAAAGAGAAGTAGAGTAGGCTTGTGCCTGTGCTGTTCCACCCTGGAGTCCAGGCCAGCGCCCCAGGCCAGGTGAGGCTGTGGGCTGGGTGGGAAAGACCTGGGGTAGAGATGCAGCTTAGTGATCATTGTTCTTGTTAGGACATGCTCTCTCTCCCGGGGACGGCTGGACGTTTTCGGGTGCTGACTGAGCGGTTAGGAGAATCTGGGCCATCTCTTCAGACCTCTGCTCTCACGAAGACCTGATCTTAACTAACCTGAGGCTGAATCAGGACCCCAAAGGGACACTGTTGTGACCCAGGGTCCACTCGCGAGTAGACACCGACACTCAGGCTGCCAGGTGGTGCTGGGAGAGGTGTCCCGCAGACAGGGGAAGCTGGCACAGCGGTTCTCACTCACCTTTTTCAGAGTCACAAACTCATTCTCAGCGCAGGCCCGGCTCCCCACCTCGTCTTCGTACCTGGATGGGCGGGGTGGAGAGATGAGTTCTCACTTGGAGCCAAGGGCCCACGGCCCCGGTCCTCCCTGGCCTCCCTGACCGTCCTGCCCAGGGGGTGGCTCCCTGCTGCCGCCACGTGTGGTGTCCACTCGTCCTGCCTTTAAGATCTTTTAGGAACCGTGGCCCTCACTCTCTCTAAACCCCCCCCCCCCACTTTCTCCACTTGGATGTAGGGCCTGAAACTCGACCTTACTGTGCTCCTCTGCTGGAAAAGACTCAGGGTCACCACACTTGAGCGTAGAGGAAGCAGGACCCATTCCACTCCCTGCTGGCCTCAGCCAGAGGGCACCTCACCCGCAGGCGGGATTGGGGTACACCACACCCAGGTGAGGTATGCCTTGTCCTGGGCTCCCCCCACGCAGAGGGTCTCCCCTACTCCCTTCCCTGACACTGCCCTGTCTCCCTGCTGGCGCCACCCACTTCTTCTTGAAGCCCTCAAGGACATCCTGCAGGTGGTTCCTCTCAGCCTCCAGCCGGCTCCGGTCGCTGGTCACCGCGTCCAGCTGCCGCCTCAGGGTGGTGATGTAGCTCTCGAAGAGCGGCTCCAGGTTGCTCTGCGTACATTTCTGCTCTTGCAGGAAGTTCCACTTGGTCTCCAGGAGCTTGTTCTGCTGTTCCAGGAACCGCACCTAGATCCACAGGGACAAAGAAGTCTGAGTGACCTCCATGGTGCCCGGTTCCTGAGCGGCTCCAGGTGACTCTGTCTCCTGGGGTGCTTCTGCCCCTGCTGCCTTTTGTTCCTCCTCTGCCTCAGGAGGAGTCGGGAGAGCAGGTCTGAGCATTCTCACACTCAGGCACGCTTAGCTGCAAGTTGAGGCTTTTGAGCCAAAGCACGCTGGCACCAATTCCCCTTTCACCCTGCGAGGAGGGTGCAAGCCAGTCCGTCAGGAGGTGGGGTCTGATCCCGAGGCCCCAGCCGGCTGCCAGCCACCCCCTGCAGAGAATGAGGAGCACGGTGAAGCCCTTGTGGGTGGGAGGTGCGCGAGGAGGCGGAGGGGCCCCTCAGGTCGGAAGTCGTTCCTGCCACCACAGAGGGTCCGTCAGCGGAGACTTGTGGAGCTGGCGGGTAATTTAGAGGTCACTTGCTCCAAGGCCCTCACTTCAGAGACTGGGAAGCAGCTCACTGAGGCGAGTTAGCATTCCCTGCGACACCAGGGCACCCCTCTCCGTGGAGACAGGTTTGTAGGGTGTCAGCTCCACATCGTGATCTGCCGAAGACCAGCGGCCCCCCCAGCTGGTTCCCTCATAGCACCCTCAGTTCAGGCAACGTGGCTGACTATGGACATCCACATGAGGGGTAGGGACTGGTTTTTGTTTTTTTTTTTTTGGTGAAGGAATTACTCAACTCCACTGTCCCCTCAACAATGAGCAGAGGTGGTGCCCAGCCTCAAGAGAGCATGAGGGTTTCAAAAGGACCTTTGGCCACGCGGTAGCCAAGGCCTGGCCTATGTCCTTGCACCTGGGAGCTACGCTAAGTGACTAGTGGTAGGACTTGGTTTGTCCAGGTGCTTTCAGGTTTGACGGGATCCTCCTCCTCCCCCCAGAAGACACAACTGCAGGCCTCCTCCATCTCCCACACAGTGTTTCCTCAGGCTTGTCCTTGCTCGGCCACAGAGCTACCCAGAAAGCAGACCACAGTGCCTTCTGGGTCAAGGTCAGGCCCAAGGCCGGGGCCATTTCCTCTTAAGGGAAATAACGGCCTGACACACTTTGGCTCTTCGTCCCAGACCCGGGGGTTCCGCTGTCACCGGTACCTTGTCGATGAAGGATGCAAACTTGTTGTTGAGGGTCTTGATCTGCTCCTTCTCATCCTTCTTCACTCTCTGGGCATTGGGGTCGATCTCCAGGTTGAGGGGAGTCAGCAGGCTCTGGTTCACAGTCACAGCTGTGATGGAGGGAGCCGCTGGGCCCCCGATGCCTCCAACTCTGTAGCCAAAGCCGGGGCCGCCGAAGCCATAGCCAAGGCCACCGCCAGCCCCGAACCCCAGGCCGACCCCGCTGCCGGCCCCGAGCCCCAGGCCAGCACAGCCGCTGTCACCGAAGCCAAAGCCGGCCCCGAAGCCCGCTCCACAGCGGAAGGACCGCGGGCCCACCGCTGCCATCCGGGGAGAGCAGGACCCAAAGGCGATGACGCTCCGACTGCCGAAGCCGCTGTGGCCCCGGAAGCTCTGCCCACTCCGGCAGGAGAAGGAGCTGGCCCGGAAGCGGTTCAGGTGCTGGGGTGTCACAGCTGAGCAGGAGCTGAAGTTGCCAACCCGGCGCCCGGAGCTGACCCGATAGGAGCGGCAAGACATGGTGGTTTCCTGGGGGAAGCGAAGGAGCAGCGGCACAGTGGGGTGAGCTGGAGCTGGGAGGCCAGTGAGGCTCGTGGGTCCCTCTCACGCCTTTTATGTATGCGGGGATGTGAGGATTGGCCCCATAAAAACAAAAAAGCCACTTGGAGGGATTTATGAGCTTGGGTAGTTAGCAGAAACTGTTCATGCCTATAACCTCCTTAACAATGAGCCAATCTCAGACACACCTATTCTCCAGAACCAGGGCTCTCGCAGCAAACCTATAAACATTAAAAACATATAAACACATGAATATTATTGTCCTCTTTTTCCTGTAAGTTTACCACAATTGCCATTATGGGGATATTAATTTGCTTTTGTCAGACAGCCAAGAGACTTTTTTCACTGCAAGAGTGGCTCACCACGGGAAAGTTAGGTTGGTAACGCTCCAAGAGGAGACTCACAGAGGATGGGGCAGACAAACAGAACCCTCTAAATGGGGGGGGGGGCAGGAGAGACAGGCTGCGCACTGCTCCCAACATGAGAGAAGATGGTGCGAGCACCGCTTATGGCCGCTCTAGAGATTGGTTCAACGGTCTAAGAACCCTGAGCAGTGTTTAATCTGCGTTCTACACTCAGCGTTGGCTATTTACGTCAGAAAGATGATGTTGCTGGAGCTCACTCGGCCTAGTGTAGACACTTGTCTGATGTGAGAAACTCAAAGGAAACTCACTCACTCATCTGCTCCTGCAGCAATTGCCAAGTGTCTGCTCTGCCCCCGGTGTTGTGTTTGGTACTGAGGGGACAGAGAGACAAAAGAAAACAAACCCAAACTGTAGTTTCTCTCCTTATTGCAGGACAGGATGGGGTGCGGGTGGGGGGAGATACATCTTGAGGCCTCCCCCGGTCAACACTTTTGTGGTGTAATTTGAGGTCGATGTGTACCTGCAATTTGACCGTGTGGAAAGTAGGCCACTACAGTGGAGCCCCCAAACCTAACCAGTCCTCTCTACCCGGGGTCTTGTCTTGAGTTATTGGTGACGTGTTGATTATGATAGAAAGACCCAGAGCAATAAGCATCTGGATAGAACACGGAAAGTTCGAAGCCACTGGACACTTTTGCTATTGTTGTCGCTATTGTGGGTGTTTCAGGACCCAGAGACAGGCTGATGTATTGTGCGACAGAGGTGGCCGTCTTGACTGGGTGGCTGGGGGTCTGTGGCGTGCTGGGGAGGGCACTGGGAAGGGATGCGAGTTTTCTGACTGGGACTTCTGAGCTTAGGTCTTCCCTAATTTCCTCTTCCGAATTCCACATGTCTTTTCTTTCCTGTTGTCTTACTGCGTTAGCTTGGGTGACCAGTATGCTATTGAAAAACACTGGTGGGAGGAGATGACTGTTTTAGCCTAGTCTTTGTGGGAAAGCTTCAAATATCGTAGTTGTAGATTTTTTTTTGGTGGGTGTTCTTTATCATGTTGAGATTCTATCGAGCAATCACGACGTGTGTATGGAAAGGACAAGTAGGAAAAAGGATACTTCGTGTGACGAGCTCCACTACCTACGTGCTGCTGTATTTAGTGGTTTGTTCTCAGGCCTCGTTTAACCTTTATTGAGGTGCTTTATCATGCCTCCGCCTTGAAACACTTTCTTTTGACTTTCGGACGTCGCATCCTCCTGCTTTTCGCTCCACATGCTTCCTTTCCGTCTTTGAGCCTATTTCTCCGGCGTCCTCAACCCGCACATCCTTGGGCTCAACCCCTGTCCTCATCCTCATCTTCTCTCTGGATGGTGACATGGCACAGTGCTCTCCACCCACCACTCACTGACTCCCCTCTCTACCACACACATGATTTTGATCCATATCTCTATCTGGACATCAAAAAGTCATCTCAGTCTTGATATATCCAGAACGCTTTCTACTTGGCAGACTGTCAATTCCTGGAGTAGCTTGGTCCAAAACTCTGGGAATCACCCTTCATTCTTGTTTTTTTCCCTCTCTCAAACCCCAAATTCTGCCTTTGAAATATAGCTGAACTCCTGTGACTTCTCACCGTTCTCACTACTACCAGGGTGGCCAGGCCTACCTGTCACGAGGTTTGTTGACATGTTTTGCCTCTCTGCTTCCTCCTTTGTCCCTTAAGCTTTTTCTTTCTTTCATTTTTTAAAAAGATTTTATTTTTATTTATTTATACAGGGTGAACAGGCCAGAGGTACAGGGGTGGTGAGAGGCTTCATCAGAGACAGAGTGGGGAGCAGAACAGGCAGATGGACAAAGCGCACAGCTGAGGGGAGCAGCGGGCGGGCCAGGAGAGGTCTGCCGCGCCATGGGGGTCAGCTCCGGGGCTGGGGATTGAACTCACACTGAAGCGGCTGCAGTCAGCTTTGCAGTGCTGTGCTCCAACCCCCTGCGCCACCAGGGAGGACCCTAAGCTTTTTCTTAACACCACAGGCGGAGTGATCTTTCACAAACAGATTCAATCACGCTACTTCTGTTCAGCCCTTCTGAGGAAGCCACCCCACTCCGAGTAAGGACCCCCCAGGGCTCTGTACACCCTCCCTTTCGCACCTCCTCTTCCTCTACCTGCCACACCTCTTACGCCCTGTGGTCCTTCAAACGGGCCCACGCTGTGTTCTCTGGTAGGAACCCTCCTCATAGCTCCAGAGCAGGGTGCGCACGTCTCCCAGGTCTTTGTCCTCACCCCATTAAAGCTCC